GCAGTCGCCACAACTGGCTTCACTAGAAACTGGGAACGTCCTCAAAACACCTCCGTGGAAATCGTGTCCCAGACGACTATCACACTGATAGCGCCTCGGCATGGCTTGCGGCCACAAAGGCGCGGACGCTTTTCAAATCAAAAGATTATATATGAAAGCACCTACTCGATATCACAGTGATTGAAAAGGAAAGGCAACGAAACAATCGCAAAAAAATTTAAAAAACGCGTCACCATGCATTTCGACTTTTCTCGCAGCCGTCGCCTGATTGCTGGGCCCAAATTCGGGCGTTGCAAGCCTGCGGTATCCTGTAAAAGGTCCTTGATTTTGGAAGTTTTTTTTTTAGGTTGTTCGTGTTTTGAATTGCTTGTACAGGCTACCTGGAAGAGCTGAAAAAATGTGCTTGAAAACGGTGTTGCCGAAAATACAGGATATTTGAGCGGTTTTCGACCACAACACAGCACGTGCACGTTTATCTCTTGTATAGAAAATGCCAATACGCAAAAAAAAACATTCCATTAAAAGATGCGCGTCACAAACTCTTATCGGGTAAATTCATTTCTTTGGACATTCTTGAAGCCGAGGGATCGAATACAAAGAACCGTGAAGCAGATGTGCTTCGTCTACAGTGATATATAGCCGGCAGTCTTTGTGGATTCCACAGGGCTAATATTTAATTCATAGAATCCCGGGCATGGTGGTCGCATTAGAGAAACGCTGAAGGTCCGTGTACGCACCCTTAATTGAATACAAGTTAAAAAACACCAACCTCTTTAAATTTCTGAATCTCTTCACTGTGGCTACTCTCACAACCGTACCGCGATTTTAGCAGATAGCACCCCAAATGCTAATACTATGTCGCATATTACGAAGTGTACAAAAAAGTTTTTAGAACCCATACGTTTGCATGCGATGAAGTTGGAAGTGTCTTATAACGCGAGAAAAAATCTCTGGCAACAGAATTCAGTGGTACCATCATTATGCGATTACGTACTACATACGGCAGGTGTGCATCAGCGTAATTTTCATTTATGTGATTTCTTCTCGCGCAGTGGCTGCTTTTGCCGCTTACTAATTTACGCTACAAGTATTAGGGGTAAACCTTCATGAGATCTTGGAAATCTTAGGTTACTTTTGAGGAAATTCCCGAAAGGAAACTCCAGCCATTCGACGTATTCTTCTAAGGTTGGTTGACCTCCGAGTGGGCTGCAGTGGACGCCGTCGCGCGGGCACTGTTGGTAGCACCTGTTGCAGAAAAAGTGCAGGCAAGGTAGAAAAGCGGTCATTCTGGCTACTAGGTCACACACTCAAAATATTCTGATTGGTGGCATTGGCTTCACAAATGTGAACTCTCTCCAGTTGAACTCGTCAGAAAACCCGGCCAACGTGCACGGATACCTCGCAATAGGCCGTGTAGACCACCTACGCATGCAGATTTATTTGAGAGCGAATAAAAATAGAAAAATGAAAGATGAGGTCACAGCCGAGAGCTGCAACGACGTTGTGCATTTGTCCTGCGTGGTGCGAAATGGAAAAAAAATGTTCCTAATTGCTGACCTTCTGCGTGCGCCTGTAAATAATTAATTTATTGCACCTCGTGGCTCGCAAATTGCGTGTGCGAGAAAAAAAAGACGAAAAAGGAAGATAGAGGTCACGAGATCCTTTCACTAGCCAAACAGTGTACTTGAAAATACACCGAAAACTTTCCAGATGAAATCGTGGAACAACGGTTCATGAGAACAATAGCATAATAGTTCGAAAATTTGTACTGCCCAATCACAGAAAGCCACCGCTGCCATACAGCGATTCTTGAGAATATCGCTTCGGCAACCGTAAAGTACCGCAGGTCGCATTAAACGTCACCAAAGGCCAGGGCACGCCACTCGTGGGCCTGCGAAAGCAGCCGCAAGTTACAGGTTCGGCTATCTACATAATCTGCGAACAAGCTTACCTCTGAAGCGTCACGCCAGTAAGCAGTACATAAACAATTAAGTAAACTACACGCATTAAACGATTATGAGAGGCCTCGCTGATCCGGCAATGCGCTGAACTAAACACAAACTGCACAAACCTTGATAGCAGTTTGCTTGGATACTTCTTTCATTTTTGGCACTAGACCGAAAAATAAGACGATCAACCATTTTTTCAAATGTTGGATCAACAATGACGCAAATTTATAATTATGCTTGAGATATATAAAATCACGAATATTTGCGAAACCATTGCATAGAAGTTTTGGCTTTGGTTGCTTTTCCCCTCTTCACCTAGTCACGCTTTAATCATCGGCGGGCGTTGATGCTTGTGTCGATAGGCTTTTGACACTTTTAGTTCAAGTTTCGTAACCGGTATAACCTAATTGTAGCGAATCCTGCGAGTTCAACCTCGGAACGCTTACGGAAGTTTCATTTTGGTTCCGAGTAACGCGCGCACACAGTCACACTTCGACATGCAGTCCCATTCTCTCCGAGTGCTGGCGTACAAATCACTTATTACGTTGTGACAGAAGAACAATAAGGTTCCGGCGTATTTTCCGGCAAAAAAAATTCTTAGCGGGTTCGTGATGTTGTTCTTCGTGAAAGAAGTACTATCGAGGTCAAATGAAACCCGAACAGCTGCAGGTCTTGCGATAGTGTAGTTCGTGCCGTCCACTTATCACCGTTGATAGGCGCGTGCATCCTCTACAGCTGCTTTGCGCATATATGCGTGCCTGTTCGTAGTGATAAGTGGATGGCGTGCACTATACAATCGCGAAGGATTGCCGATGTTCATGTTTCATTTGACGCGAATAGTGCATCATTAAAAATAGGTTCACAGCACATTTCGGCTTCTTACACGATGGTCTTGAGCCACGGTCACGATGTGTACGCAGTCACTAATGACAGAAATTGTGGCTTTTAGACTGATTTGATTGATATGTGGGGTTTAACGTCCCAAAACCACCATATGATTATGAGAGACGCCGTAGTGGAGGGCTCCGGAAATTTCGACCACCTGGGGTTCTTTAACGTGCACCCAAATCTGAGTACACGGGCCTACAACATTTCCGCCTCCATCGAAAATGCAGCCGCCGCAGCCGGGATTTGAACCCGCGACCTGCGGGTCAGCAGCCGAGTACCTTAGCCACTAGACCACCACGGCGGGGCGCTTTTAGACTGCCATAATGCTGAGTAAATACTAGATTTACGTATTCAACAAGATGATCAAAATGCCGAGAATAAAGACACTTGTTTATTGGTGTCTTTACAAAGTGCAAAATGCGGCATTGCATTAATTTTCACGTTTTCCGTGGCACGGTGTAGATGAAATTGCTGTAAATTAAGGCAGTGTCTGCCGATTTGATGAAGTATTGAACATGTATTATTGACTGCGCTGCCACCTGGCATAGCAATATATTGAGTGGTTTGTATTTGGCTGCACCTTCCCTGTTAGAGGCCTCAAGAGGGAGCTGACAGTACTATAAATTATATTGTGCTCGTGAACAGTTGTTCCTTGTGCTTAGTCCAAGTACGTCATTTGGCTAATAAAACAATTTTGGTTCCTGAATTTTTGGTGTTTTATTCTGTTTTTGCCCAAACAATAAAACAATACCCCAAACATTCAAGTGAAGTTTCGAGGGGAATCGATTGAATGGGTCACATCCGAAAAATTTCTCAGTATCATTTTTCATGAAACACTCCACTGGACATATCACATAAACAAAGTTCGCACCGATCTTTCAGGCTCAATTGGTGTAATTGGGAAAATGAGATGTTTTTTGCCAATTTGGATAACGAAGCAACCGTACTATTCCTCAGTTTACTCGGGTCTAAATTACTGTTTATTATTATGGGGTAACACTACAAACACAAACGAAGAATGTGTTTATAAACTACAGAAAAGAATAGTTGGGATAATTGAAGGGGTTTGACCTAGAACACATTACACTCCACTTTTCAACAAACACGACATATTAAAGTTCGAAAACATCCTAAATAAAAAAATAGCCATGATCATATGGGATAAACTGAAATCTGACCCAGTCGCTTTTCATGATGCATAATCGCAAAGACAACATACATACATACAGCTTTAGACGCATAACGTACTGCAGCGAGAGATTAAGGACTAACTACGGCTCGCAAAAGCTAGCGCGTATGATCCCCAAACTATTAAATGCACATCCCGCAATCGCCACCATAGTGCTAGAGAGCCGCTCATTAATTGCATTTAAAAAAAAGATACGCAAATATCCAGTAGGGCTCCAAGAATAATTTTTCCTCTTTCTGCGGTATCACACAGGTTGTATTTATAATTGAAGTGTATACATTCGTGACATTTAATTGTTGAGTTCTAATAATTTTGTTAGTTATTCGATAAATCTTTTGTTCTTCACATATTCATTGCTTTGTTTTCTATAAACTCAGCCTTGCAGACAGGTCTGTACTTAATAAAATGTTCATCTAACGTTTTTTTATAAGTTCTTATAAAAAAGTTGTAAGTGCAGCTGGTTCTTTGCTAAACAATTAAATTATGTGTACATTACTGCTTTTTTTGCGCTTTATAGTCCGGGACGGGTTATGGCACCTTGTCAGGCATATATTTGCCTTCTTGCCAACCCTGCCCCTTACTTGTGTCTATACTGTACTTTGTGTAGTGTACTTTGTATATTACTGTACTTTGTATATTAATAATATTATTGAAAATATTTTTGTCTCAATTATGCAATTAACGAAGAACTAGGCGCAATAAATTTGAGTATAATAAACACACGTAACAGGGCGACAATTTGCGAAAGTTTCAGTTTCGCGCCTTGTAGCGCAAACGCGCAACGTCACAACTGGTTCCGGTTGTGATGTAATATATTTTTCTCTGTTAGCTGTTTCCTCTTCGCGTAGATGGCGACGGTGGCAACGAGCCGCCGACTGCTGAATCAATGGGCTTCCATGGAAGTTGCGCTAAGATTACATATACCTTGATATCATATTAGTAGTAGCCTTGGCAACGGGCGCGTGAGGAAAGCGTGGCTGACGTGTGCCCTTTCCGGGCGCAGTTTGAACGACGTTTGCGAGCGGGCGGTCACGCTGCACCTCAAGGCTCTTCAAATGCACCAGTTAGTCTGGAGACCTCTGCATTTCGTCGACCCCATTCCGGTTCACAGAATATGCGAAGTCTGCGGTTTTCTTTCAAAACGGACTGCCTTTCTGCCCTGTCGACACGTTTTTTGCGAAACTTGTTACGAGCAATGCTTCATCAACCAGGCTTACGAGTGTCCTCTGGACATTGCAGAGTTTAGTGATCGAGACGTCCAATGAATGGAATTTCCTTTGGAGAATCTGCTGACGCGCAAGGTAAGACTCTATATTATTACATCACAACTACTGTGTACTCTACAGAGAACAATAATGCAGGTATAACTTACGAATTTATCCACGTTGTACCGTAGTGGTTCACGTCAGAAGTACAACTAGATTGTGAGAATAAATACTTCGGTTTGTCAATAAATACTCTTCTTGAATGAAGCAGCTCACTGAAGCAACATAAAATGACGGGGCAAAGGGCTTTGTGTATGTTAATTTTAATTCACTTACCAATATTTTGTTAATATATTTGTTCAGAATAATTGCATTGCTACTACGACCACGCCCACTTAGGATCCGCAATGTCAACGGATCAAATCAGAAATATTAAGTGGGATTGGATATGCTTCATATTAAACTGGTTAAATCTCGAAAGTGCTCATAGCAGCAGTAGCTCATTTTATATGATTTTAGAACTGTTTCAAAGGCAATGCTAGATGTCATTTCGCTAAGTGTAAAACGGCCTAATTCAAAAAATTTGTTGTCTTGCGTGTACAGCCGTCAGCCCCTTTAAGTCGCACGCGTCGACGCGTTGCCTCGGCTCGCTTGGACTGAGGTCAGCTCCGCACGGCGTTGAAAATGATATGCTTGCTGCAGCTAACAATAGATGGAACACTTGTGTGTTTCGCAAGTAAATTTGCATTCCCAGACTGCTTGACCGCCGGGTTGTATGCTCTCACTTGGCTGACCGTTTTGGTCCCGTTTCGCTCGTGACTACGTTATCACGCGCGTCCATGGCGTTCGTTGTCAGATATTCATCTCGACAATGAACCACTGCGTGTGACAGCTTACGCACCTTTGATATTTCAATTCGCAGCTGCTTCTCAGAAAAAGATCACATTAGTATAAAGAGCACAGCAAATGCACATGCACGGCGCTTAGAAAAGTTGTACTATAAGTAAGTCTCCATTGAGGTGGCGTTGTTGATTTCTTTTGAGCAGCTGCTGCGAATTCAAACTCGCAACATGCGTAAGTTGTCGCCCGCAATGCATGGTAATTGATTGATAGATTGATTTGTGGGGTTTAACGTCCCAAAACACCACGTGATTATGAGAGATGCCATAGTGGAGGGCTTCGGAAATTTCGACCACCTGGGGTTCTTTAACGTGCACCCAAATCTGAGCACACGGGCCTACAACATTTGCGCCTCCACCGGAAATGCAGCCACCGCAGCCGGGATTCGAACCCGCGACCTGCGGGTCAGCAGCTGAGTACCTTAGCCACTAGACCACCGCGGCGGGATGCAATGCATGGTAGAATTTGGAGATAAGCGTGCAACTACAAATGCCATGGACGCGCGGGATAACGTACCCACGAGCGAAACGTTGAAAAAAAACAGAATGCCAAGTGAATGGGCTCGATGCGCCAGTCAAGCAGATTTGAAACAGAAATTTCGGTATTCTTGTGAAATTCAAGAAATATGACGAAAGCAGTTGTAGCCATAGTCTTATAAATGCTCTTAGCGCTTTTGAATTTGTTCAAGTGGGAATTTTGGTCTCATGTAAAGCCTGTGCGCTCTCTTGTCCAACTTCCTGTTTTAAAAGGCATGTGAGGGTGGCTGAAAAAACATTAAACAAGAAAATTTGTCACTAAAATACGAGGTACTGAAAATCAGACAAGTCTTGGATAATTTCTTCGCTATTGTCTCATTTGCAGGTGAAATGTTGGAACGAGGATAAAGGCTGCCAAGCGGTCTTGAAAGTTTCAGAGATGCTCGAGCATTTTGATAAATATTGCATCCATCACACAACGCGTTGTTGCAACTGCTCGGCGATCGTACTTTGTAGGAATGTGTGTGCGCATCGGAGGAGTAACTGCAGCATGCATGCACAATAAAACCAGGCTCAGCTCCTTAAACCACCCATGCACTGTTTTCAGGAAGCGATGATTACCACTTTGCACATAAGGAGACAACGTGTGGAAAGTATGACCTCATGTACTGAACTGGTTGCAGTAGACCACAACAGCCTGTGCGATAGACTGAGCGAAGTGTCGTACGTTGTCAATGCTCTGAGGGAGGCCGTGATAGATGTGTCCGAGAGGCAGATGATTAACTCCAATGACGCTAGGATCGCCGCGGTTACAGAAGTGAAGGAAGAGTTGGCTGCCAAAGGGGACAACCTTGATCAAGTTGCACGGTGGATACGTGCTTCGGGGGAAGATGTTAAAGTCGTCGCTGACAGGACAAGGCGGTGTCTGAACATTCTAGAGGAGAGTCAGTAAAAAATCCGGTGGCGCATTGCAACAGACGCCAACACAATGCAAAAAGTCTCGTACACCGTGGGCGCCTTCTAGAGTGTTCTTGGTGACGTGCTTAAGCATGCAGTAGAGACTACTTTTGAAAATGTTTAAAGAATTCGTTAACTGCATCACTGCAGCGAAGACTAAAGACGATGAAAGTGATCATAAGACAATCATTGAGAGGGAAAGTCAGCTTCTTGTGCACAAAACACTTGGTATTTCGAGCTATCATCTTTGGATTCAAGGACTTGAGGCACTGAAACAAGAGGCAATATCCACAAGCTTTGTAGAATATTTGTGTCAACCGATTTACCTTTGCGGCTACCGCAATTTCCTTGGACTGCATTTCCGGAAAGGAACGGGTTGTGTGTGGGTGCACGCGTGCATAAAGCTGTACAAAGGCGAGATCGATGAATTCCTACAGCGGCCTTTCAGTTACAGAAATCAAGGTTACATTCCTGCATCAGTTGTTCTACAGACACAAAGAGTGGCTAAGCTGTACTCCCTTTGCTCCAGGATATTTTGGCAGGCTGACCAAATCAAGCAATCCAAGCTATAGTTTGTGCATTGAGTCGTTTCTCTTGGATGACCTTGAAAGTGAGGGATACGTTATGTTTGATCGACTCCACCTGAAGTTTGAGCTAGTGCCTCCAACATAGTAACTTAATATTGTTATGCTTTTTCTGACTTACGTATAATGCATCGTAAGAGCAGCGCAAGTGACAATTGCACAAAGTGAATGTCCAAGGGCATGATGCTTTCCGAGAATACAAGGACGCAACAAATAAACGGCTTTGTGACAATCTCGTTGGTTTGTACATTCAAATTTGCTTGAATACAGCGTGCCATAACCATGACAATCACTAAATTTGCATGCGTTATATTTTTGTGTACATTAATACTTGAGCTATATTTTTTCTGCTCAATTGTGCCAAGAAATAAAGGCACTGTGCTACAACCAAACCTCTGTATTCTCTTGTAGCCCTTTCCTTTTATCTTTCTTCACTGTAAGAAGCGTACATCATAACTTCTTTAGTCTCGTCGCAGAGAATTTGAAGGCACTGATCTTCTCTTGCTTAAGGATGTGGACTGTGGAATTTTGAAGATCAGTTAATTAACCTACTTTCGAAGTTAAGCGAAAAATGAGAAAAATTGTAACAGAAAACGTGAGCAACAGCTTTTTTTTTTTCTTTCGTGAAGCTACGCAACGTTCATTTATTGGCCATCGCCTGTGACCTCGACGGAACTAAATGGTAATCTTGCCCTAACTTTCAGCTAGCATTGGTAAAAATATTGTTGATTTTACATCGCGGTTGCATTGTGTAGCACGTTCTACAAATTATCGGCTTATATTTGGGGCAGGGTTGTTTTATTCAGACGTATTTAGAAAATTGCACCTTGAGTGTCTCGTGAGACGCTGCCCTTTAGAAACTTAGTGTGTGGATTACAAATTCACGTGAACTTAGCGAAGTGTAAAAAATAAAACCGTAAACAAAACATGTTGGGTTCCTGTGCCATAGGCCTCGGCTTAATATACAAGTGAAGCTTTCTTCGCATACGCAGTTGAATGATCAATGTACATTCAAGATTGATGAAATGTAGCTTTAATACTGCATGTTGGTGTCTGGCACGCCTATAGCACTGTTCGACGAGAACATGGGCACGTAGATTCTGAGTGCATTTTTTCACACCAGCCACTTTTAACAAAGATCGTGATGAAATTCGAAAGGTAGCTGTAGTAGCTAACAAAACCACGGACACAGATTATGTTGGATCGCGCGCAATGATAACCTCCCTAAGAACGTAATCACTATCACTCGTTAGGCGCTAAATGACAGCTTCTTCTTGAAGGCAAGAAATGTTATGCTGTGCACACTCCATCAATCCGGTAACGTATAGTTCTGATCCGGCATGCACTAAGAAGTGCCCTGTCATATATGACAAGAGATTGCAAGACGGCTAGAGGCAGAACTCCTTGCTTGGGTCATGAACGTGTGAAGGCATCTCGTGTTTTTCACTTGAAGTAATTAATCCACAGCAATACACAGACTTCGATTGGAAGTAGCGTACACAAACAGCTTCCTGCACAACATATATCTATCCAACTGCCCGGAATGCCATTGTGGTCATGCAAAACAAAATGTTCGCCATACTTTTTTGGAGTGCGTTGAATAGGCGAATGAAACAGAAAAATTACCTCAACTTTTCCACAGCAAAACAGTTGGAACAGAACAGAAGTAAGCACTCGCTCAAACTGCATTGAAACGAAATGAAGTGGAAACCAAGGAGCAAGCAACCACTGCACGGAGATTAAGGAAGTGCGTCTTGTGTGGGCTCATCAGTGTCGTGGTGCCGTACTTCACAAGCGCCCAACACAATCCAAGGTTGGCGGTCGTAGGGGAGATGGGAAATAAAAATATATGACACGTGTTTCTAAAAGCTCACGTACAGGCGTCGGTAGCGTAGGGGTTAAACCACCCGTCTTCTATCATCACTGACTGAGGGGCCGTGCGTTACGCTCACATGTCATCCATATAAAACAAAATATTTTCTTTGGTCTCTCTTTTTTCATCAATTTGTTATAGTATATTTAACGTCGCATCAGTAACGAAAATGATTTCAGTGAAATCTTGGAGAAACCTAGCATGCAAGGTTACTTTCCTGTTACAAACACGAAAAATGTTTCAGCCTTGGCCGCAAGAGTAGAACGTGATGGTGGTATCGGAAACGTTTTTCTATCCTTTTCATGCGCGGTCCTCGTAAGAAAGCAAATTCACAAAATTGGGCCCTACATATTGTCGTGGTAATTGTGCCCCCACGAACATTTTGGCCGTACAATTTATCGAGCATAAAGAAGGGCCGAGAATCCTGGTGCGCTATTAGAGACTAGTGAATGTGCTGTATTCGATTAGTGTCTGTGCTAACAATGATAATTCAGCTGGAATTAAATGAATCCAAGTAATTCTGATCAGGCTCCAGGCAAGTGATTACTTTCGCACGCAAAGAGTGACACATAGAAACAATGTATATGACATCTGGTTATTTTCCAGTTTTCTAAATAGTTAGTTTAATAGAGGAAGGGACATGAAACGTTGAAGGAGAAGTATACCAATAAAAGAAGTGCTTCTTAGTTCAGGTTGCACGAGTGCGTAAAATTGTAACAATCAAGTGAATTCCGAATGACAAAAACAACAGAAATATTGCCAAAGTCACTTTATAAATTTTACTTGCCATGAAGCTTCGGTGAAAGCTTCATCTCAGGAGCGGAGCAACCACAGGTGCTGCTGCTGCTTGTGTGTGGACCTTGGAGTGGCGATTAAGATATTCGCCACGAGATCGGGTAGTAGGACGCAGCTATTTTAATAGCTGCGTCCTACTACCTGCGTTGAGTGCAGCCAACTAATAATATATATGTCGCTCATTGCCGAATGACTCCACGAAGTTTGTCACTATTACTTGCGAGAAAAGCGCAAGCTGCCGTTGAAAGTAATGTTCACGCTTGGCGACTTTGTGCGGTTTAGCCGTATATGTCACGTTCCTTGTATTTTCATTTGTTAGCTTGAGCTTGCTTTTCTCCCTATACGCACTGCTGTAGTGTGACTGCGGTCACGCGCTGGGTCGTTACCTACGCGTACAGTTGCTGAAATGCGCAATGATGCTCTGCCGGAGCTAATCGCGGAGTTCACCATTAGAATAGTAAAGTATTCTTTTTTTTCTTTTTAAATTCCATATCTAATAATCATTAAAATATTCCTTTTTTAAAATTTTATGCGTGTGTTTACCTGCGTTGCGCAAAGCAACCTCAGCTTACGAAAGCTCTGTGCCTTGTAGTGCAGCGCACTTACATTAGCATCAAGACCCTTGAACAACGAAAGCAACAAGCTTTTTCCTTGGGGCGAGAATGCGCTCAATATGCCACAGATGGCTATTTTGGACAAGAAAATAGAGAAAGTACTTGTTCATTCTTAAGAAACGTGTTTTAAATTTGTTCTTTCAGTGTGTGTTTTTTTGTTTTACTTGTCTTTTCCCGTTATATTGAGAAAGAAAGCGGTCTGCAATAATTCTTAGATTCTTGTGTGTAAGGCTTAAGCTATGGCGAAAAGCTGCCAATGTGTATCTGGTTGCAGAACACCTCTGCTTGCCATAATACAACAGTATACACTGTGGCTGCAGTGGCCTGCTGTGCACATTTAGAACCACGAATTCACGCAGCTGCCGTTATCGTGACGGATGGCCAAAATTGCACTTCACGGGCAAATAGAGATGGAATAATACGAAGTTGTGTGTTTTCATTGATGGTCAAAGCAACTGAAGGTGTAAAGACCTGGCGAACGTTTGTCTGGTTAGTTCATGTTATAAATCTTGAAATTAACGGTTATGTGTGTTGAACTGTGTTTGTAATAACTGACATCTGAATATATTGCGATTTGATACGAATTTGGAACTTCTAAAGAACACGAATGTATAGGTGAGTAACATTATATAACTGCGCTTCTTCTTACGGGTTGGTTAGTGTATCCCCCTATTCTCTGGATCTGTTTTTCGACAATTTTAAGACAAGCTTCTTTGGGAATATTCCACAATGCGACGTGCTGTTTTATTACTAAGACGCCGAAAAAGAAAACAAAAAACCCCGTAATACACGACACGTCTACTTGTGCACTACAGTATTTTTGCGCGTCTTTCCTATAGTATTAAAACAGCGTATCAGAATGTCATCGCATACCTACACCCAACTTCGGCATTTCGGAATAAGTGTATGTCTTTAATAGCCTACTAACCTTCAAACTTCAAGTAAGTGTCCTCGCTTTTGTTTTTATAGTTGTCTCATGAACAAGCTTTTATGCACTTTGTCGGAAACCACAACCTGAAGTCTGTTTACGGATGCCGCCACAATGTCACACTCAAGCCTGATTGATTCATATGTGAAGTTTAACGTCCCCAAACCACCATATGAGTATGAGAGACGCGGTAGTGGAGGGCTCCGGGAATTTCAACCACCTGGGGTTCTTTACGTGCGCTCAATCCTGAGCACACGGGCCTACAGCATTTCCGCATCCATCAGAAATTCAGCCGCCGCCAGCATGATACCATCCCGCGACCTTCGGGTCAGCAGCCGAGTACTTTAGCCACTAGACCATGTTGGCGGGGCCACACGCAAGCCTACTTTTATGTAATGCTGAGAAAGAATCTTTACAGGATATCTCTTCCGATACAGTATAAATCAATACTTTAGGAACAAAATTATTAGGTAATGGTACGCGACCGAGTTTCTTTATCACAGTATTCAGAGATATTGCCCTTTAGCACAATTTGATTTGTTTTCCGTACAGACGTTTACATTATACACTCTATAAAAAGGACTAAAAGAGGTAAAGGAGGTTGGCCTTTTCCGAATCAACTGATTTGCTACAACTATTCATCCTATTGGAAACTAACTGGAAGAGGATATTTAGCTGGTCCTTGAAGGACTAACTGCAAGAGAACTTAGGGTTTATCCTGAGAGGACTAATGGTTACTCCTATAAGGACTAGCAGCTGAATTTTCAGAATGGTCCCTAACAGAGCAAATGTTACTCTGGTAAGGACTAACCGTTCCTCACGAGAAATAATCCCTGTGAGAGTGAGTATTATTCTTTCGGAATAAACTGTTACTCTATTTGTTGAAAAAAATATACACGCATTGGGGTTAGTATTTACAGAAGGAGGTCCCATAGCACCAGGCTGAAAGGGGACCTCCTGTTAGAAAATGACACGTTGATAACTACAACAAAATGGCAACAAAAAGCAAGTAAGTAATTATTGATA